CCCGGGCGGCTACGCGGCTGGGCCGCAAGAGAGCCTGCAGGCTCAGGGCAGTTTGGCCTTGCAGGTTTGAGATAAGTCGATTGCAAGGTTTAGGTTGGGCTTGAGATAAAGCAGTACACGTACGGTTTTGTAGGGTTTCGGTGGTTTGAGACGGGGTTTATATACGGTTTGGTATGAGCTTTGTAGCGCTTGACAAAGGAGCCTGGAACAGGTAGATAAAGTTGTCGGGGCATGTTATGTCATAATTGATTGGGAAAGCCTGTAGCCGAAACTTCAAGCGCTTGACATGAGGGCCTTGACGATTAGAACAATGTATGGGAGTGTATATGGGTGTCATGCACTATGCTTTTTGGAAGAAATCTCAGAGACTACCCTATACCTTACACCAGGCTTGGGTCTTTGGCTTTATAATCTGAATATCTTTTCAGAACCTCCAATTGTAAACTGCCGTGTGGCCTTCGGCTGCAGCTATTTGGGACAATTCATGCGGCTCAAGGCTTGGAGTCTTTGGAGTTTATAAGGGCTCAGTGCCGGAAAGTCTTCTAAGTGTTGAGGGTTTGGCGTTCAAATGTTGGGGTTTGGCTCTTCAGAGGGTTGAGTTTGGGTGCTGGAAAGGTTTTTTTGCTGAGATAGGCTTTAGGGCTTTAGGGGCTCCATAGGGCTCACGGTTTAAGGTTAGGGTTTAGGGCTTAATCCACGACGAGGGATGTGGGTTCTCCAGGATAGGGCCGCCCTGCGCCACTTGCAACGCAGGTTTTCAATTCTTTTTGGCTTCGTGTTCTGGGGTCTGCGGCGGTGTGGCTTCGGGATGTCCTACTGCTGTGGCAACTGCTGAACTTCTGTTTACCTTACTCACACTTGTCAAAGTTGCATCCCGCACATTGCCACTCAGCAGGGTGTGTGTGAGCCAGCTTTCCTTCAACAAATCTACAGACAAGGATATGGGAGTTTCCGAAAATAGCAGACCCTAATATAGTACCCTAAAAGTAGGATCCTTAATATAAGGACCCCAAAATAAGGTACCCTATTTCGGAAACTCCCATATTCCAGCATGCCGCGACTTGTGTCCCGGAGCGGGGGTGTGCAGATCATCGGTTAAACCCGACCTCTCCTGAAGCCAAGCCATAGAGGCCCCCCAAGCCCCACAATCATGCGCCTGGGTGACGACGCCTGCGCTCAGCGCCCAGTGGCCGCGGAAACACAACACCTTGTCCACTCAGAGGGTCGCTGAGAGGAACAAATGGCAGCTGTCACAACCAGTTCATTGCTATCTTGTTACGGATAGCTTTTGGCCCAACTTTCGTCAGCTTTGCTCTCACTTTCTTTTCAACCTGCTCGTGCTTCGGTGCCTATGACTGCTACTGTTACTACGGCAAGAGTTCGATTGGCACAGCTACGCAGTTTTCAAGCGACTCTACGCCACGCTGTTGGTGTTACGTTCGGTTGTCCATGTGATTGCGCACAGTGGGGATTACAGTCTGAATGAGCCACCTTGTCTTTCAATAGGATCAGTAGGCAAGCTTCAGTGTGTGTGTGTGTACGCACCGGTACCACTACTACCCACCACACATCTGCAGTCACAGTAGCGCATCCTACAGTGTTCGATCACAGCCTAGAAGCACAGCTATTGTACATGGTGATATATTGAAGAAGCCGGCTGTCCTGGCAAACCTGCACGCATTACAGTAGCAGACAAGGTCTTCTGCGGACAGAGGCCGACCAACAGACGTGCCAACAAGGAATCCAAAGGCTCCATGTACTCATTATGGTAGATACTCAGGCCTTAAAGTGCCTATATGGAGACCCCTTTAAGCCTTAAGTATCTACTATAAGGGTACATGGAGCCTTTGGGGAAAGCAGCCGTAGCCGAGGCGAAGGCCGACGTCGGGCGGCGCCGGTCTCTAGGCGCCGGCAAAGATCGAGAGGACGGCCTCTCTCTCACTCTCATTCTCTCTCTTTCTCTCCCGTGGCAAAGATTGCCATCAGAAACTCCAAAGGGTATCCTTAAGGGTTCTTTAAGCTGGTAAGGGGGATAGTTCCACCAATCATGATAGAATTTCCTAGTATAGAAACCCTAGATACTTTGTAGGTCCTTTGGACCTTCTGGGTCCTATCGGATTTTGGACTTCGGGAGTTTGTAGAGTGGAAAGTGTAGGGGTTTCAGTTTGGGGTCGACTTGTAGAGAAGACCTGGCCGAGTCGGTTCAGGGTTTAGGGAATTTTTTGAGCACGGCAAAAAAAACATGTTGTCTTCTATAGAATCTATAGAATTTGGATGTCTTGCAGGCAGTTCTACCCGCTTGCGAACTTTACGGCGAGCTTCGATCTTGCTTTCGGAAGACTTTGGAAACGCGAGGCTTTTTTTCGTCTGCATTACGCGAGAGGTTGTAGCATACTTTATCGGACTTAGGGGATGATCTACCCATAGGCCCCAAAGTAATTCCTTTTTGGGAATACCCTATGGGATTCTATATATGAACCCCAAAAAGGAACTACTTTGGGGCCTTAGGGTAGGGGTCTCAATAGTTTGAATAGTGTTTTGGGTTATACTATATTATCAGCAGAATGGGGGCTATGGGGGCAGTCGTTTTCCAAACTTTTCCGACCCGCGTCTTCGAATGGCAAAGAGCCTATATGAAGGTTGCAAGGCTAGGCGGAGATGGCATGGATGCCTGGTTTGAAGACAGGGTGCAGGGTTTAGGGTGGTGGGGCGATTTATTGCAAAACAGCTGATGGCTTCGGCGGCCGTTTCTTTTGCAGGATGTGAGGTATGAGGCAGGACCTGTGCCTAGGCTGTTTAGAGTTCGTTGTGTCGGAATTTCGAACGTGCCAAGCCCTGAGAACCAGAAGCCGTCAACCGCTGCGCAGCAAATCCACGACAGATATGCAAGACTTTGAGGCATGAACCTCTTAGCGACAAAAGCACCATCAAGAAAAAAACCGAAGTGGCCCAAAGGCTTGAGGCCAAAGAGCCACTGGACCCGAATGTTCGGGATTCAAGTCTTACAAGAGCTTGAGAAAGTTTGAGGTATAAGCACGGTGCAGGGGTACCTTGCTGATAATCATTGACAACCTCTAGGGCCTGTATTACAATCCCCGCTACAGTGAGTTGGAACAACATCATCGAAGCCCAGTTGCCCATGCAGTAGGTGTCTGGTACAGTAACTCATCTCAGATATAGGGTCCATAATGATTAGAATAGGGTTTTGGGGCCCTTTCTACTATAACTATAACAAGGAACCTCCCAGAATAGTATAGGTACTTATTTAGGCCCCTATAGTATACTACCCTTATGGATCCCTTGTAGTAATCCTTAAACCCCCTAAAAAGGAACCCTGAAATCTATTCCTATGTAGCTCCCGGGCCTCCCTGGCACCCTCTGCCGTCTGCCGAAATCCCCCTGAGGGCAGAGCCCGGCTTGCCAGATGACTCGCTGCCACCGTGAACAAAGCATCGAGCCCAAAACGCTCACAGGCCAACAGCTCAGACAGCTCATTGGGTTTAGAGTTAAGGGCTCTTGCAAGGGATGCCGGCAGGGATAAAGCTGAGGGCTCCCAAAACTCAGTCATGAAATGAAGTGGAAACCGGACAGATTTGCATTTTTCTGCACCATCGCACACGCTCCTGTCGTCTGTAGCACTCAGACTGCGAAGAGCCGCACTGTCATCAATGTAGGGGCCTTCATAATTAGAACAGGGTTTTGGGTTATATGATGGAATGAATCCTATAGGGAACCCTGCGGAATAGGGGTATATTGCAGCATGAATAAAATCAGAAACCCTTATCCCGTGGTGGGCGCTTTGACGTCCAGCTCAAAGACTGCTCTAACTAGCGAAAAGCAATGTCCAAGAACCCCCCAGCCTGCCAGAAATCGAACGGGATACCTCTCATTCTTGATGGAGAAGTTGTGCTGTCCTACTTGCCTGCTAAGCGGATGGAAGCTGAAAGAAATTCTCGAACAAATCTGTGAAACGGGACAGGGATTAGCAAGCTGAGCGCGCTCTCGCTGCAAGTGATGGCACTCGCACGGGCCATCTCTTTGATTCCACGTCGCGCATCAACTGTTAGACACCACTGCACATGCCGTCCTATGACTCGAAGCCTGAACTCCCAGACTCTTGGATCCACCTGTGCCATTCTCCCTAGGCCTTGCCCAAACCGGTTGCTTGGAGCTGGGTCTCAGCGGCAGCACACCTGCAGGGAGCCATGCGACAGGGGGGGCTTCGGGTTAAGGGCCGAGGGTTTCCCTACTGTCTCCACTGTGGTCACATTCTGGTGTTTTCTAACTTGTATCTGTAGGATGCTAGAGGCTAACCCCAAAACACGAAGTAAGCAAGGTCTTCGTGTGGCAGATGTGGGCTGTAACTCGATGGTGAATGGGTGACCGTGTGTGCTACGAGGGGACTGCTTGCGTTTCAGCTGCTCAGAGGCTCGCAAACCCTCCCAAAGGGTCCAAGTAATGGTATAGTATATACTTTTGGAGGCCAAAATACCTACTATAATGGTACTTGGACCCTTTGGGCCTCAAACCTCTGCCCTAAACCAAAAATCCGAAACAACAGCAAACCTGAACGGTACCATTTTGTTCGCTCTGCCTCTGGCGTGCCTTTTCCGTCTGCGGCCCTTCGGCCGGCTAACGAGGCTGTCTTCCGGGCTTGCTGGCCTGCTAGGGCTCGCATGCAAGATTTTTCCAGCCAGTGATTGTAGGTTGCTTACTTCCAACCGTTGCGGCCTTGTTGCAAGCCCGATTTGGGGTGAAAGAAAGAGGCTGCTGCCACAGTGCGGGAGCCATCGCCCCTCGTTCCGCAGCAGGATATGGGCGGTAACACGATTTGAACGATGTTCGAAACCTCACTGTTTCAGACAAAACAGGAGCATGCGAAAAGTATTCTGCAAGCGTCGATGAGACCAAAGACATCAAAAAACGGAATTCGCGTCTCTGGAACACCCTGCAATTCAGAGATGGAAAATCCGCACGGCCATGAGTGGCCACGGATGCTCTCATGCTATTCCCTTGTAAATCCACGCTGTGTTATTCGAAGGGAAGCTGTTGCAGTCGTATCCGCCAAAGTAGACAGTGCCAGCTTCATCTGAGATCCGGGGCATTCGTGCTTATAAATCCGGAGGAATAGCAAGAACTCAATTCAGGGCTTACCTGGACCCTAAGGAACCTACCTTTTTTAGCCTTTTTTAGGGTTCCCTAATATGATTTCTTTACATAAGTCCTTAAACAGGTAGGTTATTTGAGGTTAAGGTAAGGTGTAAGGTAACAATACTTACAACCACCAACTGCGGTACATGTGTGGAACCCTACTTTCCATTTCCCATGAACCTCCAAGTACACGTCAAACGACCCCTCCGATGCTCACTACAAGGTTTTGGGTTTAGGGTTACAAGCACAGGAGGCAGATCCCAAACACAACAGGGCAGAGTTTGGAGCCCAAAGGGGTCAGACTGTTAGACTTTACTGCACTTTGCTAGGGCCAGGGCAGATCATGCCCGCCTGCACTATCCCTCTACCCCCGCCCTCCCCTAAAATCAATAACACTTGCCCCTGCCTTTGAACGGTGAATTTGCATAGCAGCGAACGGCCGTAAGCGGCCGATGGCTTTTGCTACCGCGGCCGCCCACTTCTAGGACGTAGTAATCATCGTGAGCTACACCTGCGTTGTGTTTGCCGTCAGAGGACTAGTTGTGCTCGTGCCACATGTGAAGCATCTCTCTCTCTCTCTCTGTGTTTTCTTCTTCCAATCTAAACTCGGCTCGTTCTGTCTCGAACAGCTGTGACTCTGCCTGTAGACCAAACCTTTTTAGCCTTGTGCAACTGGCTTGCAACGTCACGCCAGGACAGCTGACAAACCCCAAACCCAAAAGGGTGGTTGTCAAAATTAGGGTCCCTTTTGGGGTATTCGCATTATATTAAGGACCCAAGAAGGGACCCTAATTTTGACAACCACCCAAAAAGTTAGAACCTAGGCACGGACAGCAAAGCCGCCACCAGCCCAGTAGTTCTTCTGTCCGGGGTCAGGGCCTGCACTCATCGCCTTGGAATGTCTGGAAAAAATTAGAATCCTGCACCCAAAAAAAGGCCGAAACCTTAAACCACATACAAACTATCGTAAGATAGGAACCCTGAGTCCGAACCCCTAAACACCTAACACGTGAGCCCACGAGAACCCAAAAACTCTCCACCAGGATCCCTCCAATAGGAAACCCAAAAGCAACTAAACAGAAATTCTTGGACTAAAGGGAAGATAATATTCCTACGAGGGGTGTGTTCATCTAACACATTTACTGGGTTGTAGTTTTGGGGCTCTGAAAAGCATACATGAATAGGTACCTCTGGATCCATAAGGGAGATTTAGCCAGTTTCCCAAATTGCCACCTAGTTTAAGATTTATATGATATGTGGGTAGTTGTCAAAATTAGGGTCCCTTCTTGGGTTCTTATTATAATACGGCACCAAAAGGACCATAATTTTGACAACCACCCATGTGCCTTTCTCGGGGCCCTCTTTACGACCATCACCCAACTGAAACTTGGCCTCGGGACGCTGCCACCCAGATAGATCTGGAAGCCGATCAGGTGGCATCCTTAGATGGGATTTTCCGAAAATGAGGGGTAATATAGGGGCCTTAATGTTTTGGGGCGCATTATACTATCATCGTAATAATAAGGAACCCCTCAAAATAGTATTGGTAATTATTTAGGCCCCTATATTACGTTATTTCGAGGTCCTAACAAAATGAGCATCCCACCATTTAGGGTACTATATGAGGGGGCCCCACTTTTCGGAAACCCTTAAATGCTCAGTTTTCCAGGGAGCTAACAGGTTGTTAGCCTTTAGGGTTTTAGCATACCATAGTACACCATCGTACACCAAACCAAGTATATAGGATTTCGGTACGATATAGTTGGTATGTTGTAGTACAACAAAAAGGTTCAAGGCTACTTACTCTTACTACCAAGCATCTCTGAGTACCGAAAGTAGTGGGCAGCATGTCATTGTAGGCACCGATGGAGTAGTGCAGGTCTTCCTGGGTTCTTGTTTAAGGATTTAAAATGTATGTGACCATAATAAGGAAACCATACTTTTCAACATAGATCCTATAGATCCGCAGTAACCCTAGTCGGTAACTTACACAAACTCGTTAACAAGAACCCAGCTTCAGTGCCTAAGTAGGCCTTGGCGAGCTTGCGGATGGAGCTCTCCTCCACCGGCGGCTTTAAGTTTCCATCATTGCTGGGATCCATGCGAAGGATCCAGGAATGAGACTCGGAATTTGGGTTCCAGCAGCATAGGATGGAGTCCTGCTTGGGGTTCGATGGGCACGGTACGGCCGTGAGGCCTCGAATCCCACCCACCGCCTCGTGGAATTTGCCATCTTTTCGAAACTTCGCAATGTCAGTAACCACTTTCCAAACCTGGTGCAATTCCAGGATGTGGGTTGAGGGACGGAGGGGTCTGAGGAGTCCCAGACTACATTAAGTCCCCTAAACCCTAAACCCTACTGAGAGTCCGAATGGCAGGGGTGTGACCGTCGACCCGTTGCAGAATCACGGACGCGGCCGACATGTAAAGCTTGCCGTTGGCAATGACGAAAGCCAGCGGGCGAAACTCTAGTTTCGTTGCGCCTCCTTTGCCTGCTGACCTCGAGGCACCGCACACATCGCGCTACTGTTCCGTCATCGCGATTATAACCCTACACCCTACACTCCAAAGGCAAATAAGGTCGGGGCCTTAGTACATAGGATAGGGTTTTGGGGTTTCTTATGTTATAGTTTACAATGAGGAACCCCCAAAATAGTATTTTTAGGTAACTATTAAAGCCCCTATATTACCAAGCCGAGCTGCAGATCCAGCCTCTCTGGATCCTTATCCCAAACCACGTGGCCTCTAGTTCATGGTTGGGATAGGGTTAAAAATGTTAATGCTTTATTCCTTGTTGGGTTTAAGTACCTATTAACATGTAAAGTTATGTTACCCAACTATGACCCAGGCCTGGTGTCTTGCTGTCAGCATCGTAATGCCCAGACAGCGCTCCTCGTACGCCATGCAGGGCAAAGATTCCTCGCAGCGGACAACAAAGCTCCGAGAAGGCAGGAGGGTAAAGTAGGGGCCGTAATGTTTAGACTAGGGTTTTGGGGCCGAGTATACTATAAGTATAATGAGGAACCCCCAAAATAGTATAGGTAATGGTTGCGGTTCCTATGTCAAATTGCAGAATTTGGGGTCACGACTGTCCATGACTACATATCCAACGTGCCCGAGTCTTCGCCCTCAATGCTTGCGACGATCGAGTTTCTAAAAGAAGGTGCTTTGTGCTGTCGATTTCAACGGTTCATGTAGGTCGCATACAGAGAGGCGGGATGAAATTCATCAATATATCAGGACCCGAACTTTAAGACAATACAGGAGAAGCCATAAAGTTTGAACATCAATATCATCATGGCCTTAAAGGTAAAGTATAGGGGTTCCCAGCACTAATCATCCTAAATCCATGTTCCGACTTTCTGGTGTAATTAAACTATAATCCCCTCATGGTAGAACTGCTGGTCATCCGAGAGACGGTCAATGCCGGTGACGGCATCTCGATGCACGATCACTGCTCTTGCAGAGCCGCTGGGCGTAGGATCAGTAATCTTCCCCGTGTAGTTAGTCTCGCTCCATTTGTACTGCGTTCCAGGTGCCTTCTGGTCGTTATCATCGCGAAACATGATGATGTTGCCATGGGGGCCCAAGCCGTAGCACGCAGTTAGCTGCTCCACTGCAGGACTCAACTCACGACCACGGAAGTCACGCGTCCACGTGATACTCTTCAAGCAACTGAACCGCGCGGCATGCTCCGAAGTCCCTTGGCAACGCATGTCCACCTGGAAACTGCTTTGGCAGAACGTCTCCCCGAAGTTGCTTGATAAGGAAGATTCTTTCTAGCAGAAACCTTCTCTTCAGAAGATAATCACCGCCACCCAACCGTACACCCTAAACTCCCTAAACCCTAAACCCTTTAGAAGACACCCAACCTCCCACTGGCCATCTGAGGAGCTCAGCCTGCCCACGAAGTTCTTGCACGGCCGCTTCTGGAAATCCGGGCTCATCCATTTTCCAAACGAGGCGAAAAGCTCCTAGGTTGGCCAGAGACTCCAATATTCCTTAATTAGGGAATTTACCTTAAATCCATGTTAAGGATCCCACTGTAGTTTGAGGTATATTCCCTAATTAAGGGGTATTGGAGTCTCTGGGAACCTGTGAAAGATACCTATGGTCTCCGTTGTAGTTCTGCCTGTAACCAGTCATAGATTTAGGATCCTACAAGGTAACTCCAAAAGGGAGCCACAATTTGAGACCACGGAGGCTACAGGTATGTTCGCAAATAGTAGGTAAGACACTCCGCAAAAAGCCCAAGAAGGAACACACAATGTAGGGCATTTGGCTTTGGGGGTTCATTTTTGTAACTCTATATAGTGTAACATACCCCCCAAACCCTATTCTATATATTACGGCCCCTATATCATATATCCCTTATAGACCCCTTTAAGGATCCTTTCAAAGGAACCCACTCTGATAAAATCTCCCATAGACCAACCTCGGCTCCCCTTTGTGGGCCACGATGTGCATGGTTTCGGTGGCCGAGAGGTCGGCGAAGTCCTTCATCCCTGTGGCACCTTCTGGGTTCTTGTCAAGGAAGTGAGCTTAAGTAGGTTACCGTAATTTAGGGTTCTTTTAAGGGATCTATAAGGGTTCCTTTAAGGGTTAAGGAATTTGATTTAATTAAGTTATAAAATAATGGGGATCTATAGTAAACAGTATGGGTTTCCTTATTGTGGAAACTTGAAACCCATCCATTAACAAGAACCCAGCCTTTCCCGAAGAGCAGCGACGGGTGCCAACGCAGCTTGAAGCGATCATCCGGGGGCGGTGCAATCGGCCAAGTGTGCTTCTGACAGAGCGGTCCGTGTTGACCATTTACCCGGCAAGCGTTGCAACAGAAGCCATGCGGCTGGTCGGTGTGCCTGGCAAAGTTGCAGCCTTCGCGGGCACACTTTGGCCTGCCCCCAGCCACCGCCGGGGCTTCCCGTACTTGTACGTGTACCGGTGCTGTGCGGCTCTGCTTGCAGCCCATGGCTCCAAACCCGTAGGCACTATCAAACCGACACTTGTAAATAAATACCACAGGACGCAGGATGTTGCTTTGAAAACCCGTGAGGATGTTGGATTCAAGAAAAAGTCGACCTATATGTGCCATACTGAAGCGACCTAATTAGGTGTTGCCCTAGTCGCAAACCTTAAGCCGACAACAAGACACGCACATGCACACATTCACAAGCTAATAAGCGTACCACACATGTCTATATCTCTATATATATATATATGTATATGTATATGTATAGATCGGCGCCTAATGCAGAGCAACCCGCGCAATTTCAATATCGGCAAAGCTCAGACACCCCATGGCCTCAGCAGCGGTGCTCAGCCACTCCATCCCCATCCTCTCCAAGGGGCTTGCTTTCTTGAACCTGCTTCGGGGTCCGGATGCTGAGCACTGTACAAATTGCGGTTTAGGTTACTGCAAGGACAATGACGAAACAGAGTTGTGGTTCAGTTTTCCGGCCAAACCTGACTACCTCCACGACGGAAACACACATTACATTGCTGGCTTCAGCTTCAGTTTTTTGCTTGCGCTCGGAGTGCTTCCTGTAAAGCATGTTAGTCAAACAAATTGCAGCTTCTTGGGCCTGCCAGTTTCGGGTTCAGTGCAAAATGCTTTTCAGCAGGGTCTAGTGTTTAAGGTTTAAAGGGTTTAGTGTTTGAGAAGGTTTAGGGTTTAGTGTTTAAGGTTTATAGGGTACGGTTTAAGCAATCACACTCCTCAAGCCCACGCCCTTACATTCTAACATGGGGCCAAATAAGCATTCTCATTGCGAGCTCCAAGGTTAGGATCAGGGCTGTAGGGCTTTATGTAAGGGCTTTAGTAATTAGAATAGGGTTTGGGGCTCCTTTACAGTAGAGTTATATTAGAGCACCCATGAGGGTCAGCTAGTAAGGACAGTGCAATCCTACCTTGCAGCACAATGGTAGCTGACAACCCAATCCCCACAGAAGGTAGTTACCAATGCAGTCGGGCACTCTCCCTATATGGCCAGGGTAGGGCAAACCATTATATGCGTAAGCGAGCTCGAGGGAACCCTTCAACCATAGTTATATGTTTGCAGAGTCCCCCTACATAGCTATGATGCGATGCCCGCAAACCCTCGTCGCATCATAATGGTGCCTAATTATATGGTCCCATCTGAAACCGCATGGCCTATAGAATCTTTAGCTTTGCTGAAGCCCTGATGACAGGTCAACTCCTGAGTGCATGGCCGGGCTTGCAAGATGACTCGGTGCCACCGTGAAGAAAGCGTCGAGCCCAAAATGCTCCAAGGACGGAAGCGGAAGAAATCAACCGCAAACCTGGCCTAACCCCACTGTTGCCGGATTTCCAGATGTTCTATATGATTCTACATGTTTCTGAAGTACATTCTGTTATATTGGGCTGTTTATTAGGGCTGTTGCTCTTCGGGGTTCGGCTTCCCCGGTGGCGACCGTCGGGACTCGAAGCGAAGGCTGCGGTGTCGGGTTCCACGTGGCATCCAGACTTACCTCTACGGTCATACCCTGTCCCTTTTTTGAAGGTACCTACTTTTCTATGTAAGAGAAGCTAACCATAAAACTAGGAATCCTAAAAAAGGGGTTGGGTATGACCCTATAGGTACGAAACTACCTGTAGTTCCAATTGTAGCGCCCTTTTTGCAGGTTAGGATTTAGGGTCCATTGTCCATTGTAGTTCCTTGTATGGGGTGTAACCAATTGGTTTATGTGCGATCCTATAAGTAACCCCGAAAGGGAACTACAATGGAGACTTCAGAATGATGCGGGGTCGATCGTTATGGAGCCGCGGCTTTCATATAGGGGCCTGAATAACTACCTATGCCTATACTACTTCGGGGCTTCCTCATTTTACTATAGTTTAATGGGGCCCAAAACCCAAGTCTGGCCATATTAGTCCCTTTAGTCTTAGCACCCGCATGGGGATGCGGGTCGTCTTTCTCAGTCGCACTCTGACCACCAACCTGAGTCTACGTACTTCCAGCATCACGGCAAACTCTGCACAATCTGAAAATTCTGCTTAGCTGAGATGTTTCGGGGTTGACAGAACCCAACGTGCAAGCCGGGTGTACACGCCCTACAACGCAGGCCCGCCACATTTTTTCTTTCGCCGCAAAGCCATGCTGCCCGCCTCTGTTGGTATCACGTTGACGAAGCCTCCTTCGACCCGCAAGCTCAACCGAACCAAACCGGAAATACTCCAGAAACTCTACGACTGGCAATGTTGAATCTTCAGAAAATGAGGGACCTAACTAGATCCTGCGTACAGAGTTGACCACCCCAGCACGGACCCAAAGAGAGCTTCCGAGTTACAAAACACCCTATGGCCCTATGAAACCTTTATGGTCACATATGGTAAAACTGCGAAGATTTACTCCAACCTCGTATGCAAGCCCATAGCTACCGTTGTGACCTACGCAGCCCCTAGAACACTCCGAATCTAAACCCCGTGAACTGAAACCTCTTTACATCCCGTACAGTAGAAAGCCCTTTTACAAACCCTTGGCTCTGAAGGGGTGCGAACTTCCCTCTGCCCAGTTTCAGGCAGGAGGGAGCAAAAAGCGGTAGCTTCAAGCCCAATTGGTTTACTCTTAGAGGAAATCCTGATACCTAGACTCAGGCCCTAAACTCTAAGCTTTTAGGCTTTGGACTACGATCTAGGTGTTCCTCAGGGTTATAAGGCCCAAAACTGTTCTTCGAGGTCTTCAAACTAAGGCCTGTGGGGTTTAGCGGCGTTGATAGATTTCGGGGTTCGACATGCGGATTTTGGGGGTCTTAAGACTTTGGGGCTGCAACGTCTAGGTCCTAGGTTGACATCGCGGGCTTCAGGGCTTGACAGTATGCGGCTGTCGGGTCTACTAAGTCTACTTCTGGAACGATGAGAACCGTCGTCTTCCGGAGTGTTGAAACTAAGATGTCTCACAAATGGATCATGGCTTTGGTGCTGTTGGGTCGGCTGCTTCGGCTGAGATTGTCTAGGCATCAGTGCGGCCATTTAGTACCAGTATAAACTACTCGATCCTGTTCGGCACATCTTGTCTTATCATTCTAGCGGTTAGCAACTGTGCGCGCGTGACACCTATCTTCCTCACCATCCTCACTGAAGAGTCTATGATAATGATGACATGCTCCAGGATTGAACCCCACCGCCTTCTCTTGCTGACTTCGGGCGCCAATGCAGCAACGGCTCTGGATCGAGGGGGTGGGGGGGTATCTTTTGGGGGGTTTTGGGCCAGCCGATGGGAGCTCTTGCTGTACCAGCAATGTCCTTTCCAGCACTTCCACACCTCTCTCTCCGGGAGTTTCCTGAGTCAGCCCTTACTCAACTCTACACCTTTTGACCTCCAAAAACAAGCAAAGCCCTGCAGTTTCCTGCTCCACATCTAATGCCAAGCCCCGCAGCTATGCAAACCACAGCTGAAAGATAACCTGCAGAGTCGATATACCCCGGAATTCACAAAACCCTGAAGTCAAGCCTGGAATAAGCCCTAAACGGCCCGTAGTTTAATCTAAATCCCCAGCAGGCCCCAAAACCCACAGTATAGCCGCCAACAATCCCTCGACTACTCGAAAAACAAAACCAGCTAAACTTCCATCCCTGGCCTATACAAACCCCTTGTCACGCCTAGACTTCTGCAAACCCTAAAACCTCATCAGGCCTGCAACAAAGTCCACACATGTCCGGCCTTGTAATACCCCTTGGGATAGCGCGGGCAGGGAAGCCAAAACGTGGTACTGTCGTGCTTTGTGTGAGTCTATGGCTTAAACAAATTCTGCAAAGAAAGTAATTTAGGGGCCTTATAATAATTAGACTAGGTTATTTTGTTTTCGAGGGGGGGGGGGGGGTATATACTATAATCACACCAAGGAACCCCACAGTAGTCTGGATTATGTTTCAGCTCTAGGAACGGAACTCCCAGCTCGCAAACCCTCTAAACTCTAAACAAAAACACAAACACCCTAACATGGAATTCCCAGTCCCCAACAAAACCTGAGAATAAACCTCCCAGAAACCAAAACCTCTAAAAGCCCGGCAGTATGAACTCCCGGATCTCACTTCATCTTGGCGCTGAAAGTTTCCGGCGAGTCTTCTGAGCAAGAGGGCGACTGGAGTCCAAGCCTCCGCTGCGTTGCATGGGTGTATAAAGATAAGCCAGACCAGCTATTCGACAAAAGTATGTAAATGCACAAACGTATGTATCTGTATATATATATATATATATATGTGTGTGTGTGTGTGTAACACGTGTATATATATATACACATAAATACATATATACATACATGCATATAGACACACACACACATAAATAAATATATATATATATATATATCAGTCTCTGCGTGCGCCGGCATGCACGTAGTTATGTATGTACATATACATATACATATACAGATACCTAACATATACATATTCATGTGTATATGTGTATGTGCGTGTATATATATGTATATATATATATATATGTGTGGGTATGTGTGTACATGTGTACTCGTAAAAAGACATATGTTAATGTTTGTATCATTTGCTATTAGTCTCTGTTTTGGGGTTTAAGATAATGTTCGTTTCGGGTTCATGGTGCTGCAGGTTCCTCGCGAGGTCTCCGGGCTCTTGTTTACAGGATCCTAATTATTCCTTTTTGTAGTTAGCTTATAGGCTTGTAGGATCCGAATTGTTCTTTGTTGGGGTTAGCTTATGGGATCCTAATTATTCCTTTTGGTGGTTACCTTATGAATCCTAATGCTTATTCCTTTTGTGGAAGCTTTTAGGATCATGATTATTCTTTTTTGTGGTTACCCAAGGCTGTGAAAAGCACAAAATCCAGAAACCCAAACCATGAAAACTGAGCTTGATGTATGCTGCAACCTAAACATCCCAAGAACCCCACCCTGAAGCCACTAAACCCCTATAGAAACGAAAGAACGCCTCAAGACTCCGCCGACATCTGAAGCATCTCGCCAGTCTATATGTTG